TTTTTTTTTTTTTTTTACTTTTTGATTTATGAGTGCTACTGTTCAAAAATTTTGTTATTTGATCATCTTTAGAATATATGTAAAACGTTGTTGAGCCGTTTGCTGTATCAGAATAAAGAAAATGCCTTTCATAGCCTTCCTCTGATTTTAAAATTTTCCACTTGAAAGCTTCTTGAAATTTTTTGTATTTACTTTCCACAAAACATTTAAAACGTCTCTTTACCTTCTTGTTGTTCTTTTAATGTTTTGAAATTTTTATCTTTTATTGTCGTTTTATTTATCTTTTATCACCAGTTTCAGAAGGGGTAATGATGCATTTGATACAGGTATGATGGCTATTTCTAAGGTAAAATTAGTTTAGCTTAAAAGACTAGTAAAAACGATAGCTGTCGTTAGGCGTGAATCATAAATGTTAGATCTGTGTTTCTACATCGTTTACATTTTGGAACAAAAAATAAAAGTGCATTATTGTTCATCATTGCGCTTAAGCTCTTTTACACAGTGTTTTAAGTTGGCAAAAATTTTTGTGATAAAATATACCTGTAACAAAACGAAAAAAAAAAAAAAAAAAGGTTTTCTGTACATATGCCACCCAAATTTTTACCAGTTTTTCATAATAACTATCTAAATAATTTTCTACAATCTGCTAAAGACATAAAAGAGATAATTTTTACAAGGTTTGCAGAAATGTAAACATATTACTTAACATAACAATTCAAAGTACTACGGTAAACTGAACATTTCTTTTATTTACTCATTTTTATTTTTTCTGTAAACTAATTAATTTTTTTTTTTTGGTTGATAAAAGACTACAATTTTTCGTTTTATTTTCTACTATTCATTTTTTTTTTTTTAATGAGATAGTTTATAACTTTTTATTACACGTTGCCAAAAGACGATACATGACACCCTCTTAACGGCGGATAACCCGAGTTTTTCGGCCTTCAACAGAGGTGCTCAATTGCTTTTATATTTTGTTAAGCATTCTGTAGTGTTTGCAGTACTTAAACTTGTTTTTGGCTTTTTAAATAGCCACTTTAGTGGGAAAAATGTTAGAAGCAGTACCCTCTAAGTACCAACTAATCAACACTAATGTTGTTACCAAACTGAAACCAAAAAATTCAATATTACTGACGGTCACCTGTAATAGTATTCTCCCCATTTTTCACAAAAACCTTTTTATTCGTGAACTTGTATCAAAAAAAATTACTAACTTTTTGAATGACTTAAATGATCAACAAAAATAGAGAAGCAGTTACTGACAGATAACTTCTAAACAGCAAAGGAAGATTTTAGGTATCTATTTATACAATTGTGAAATGAATAGTACTCTTTATCAGAATCCAAAAATTTTTTTTTGTATAAGTAAATGTATGTTTAGAAATATCGTAATACAAAA